CCCCCCCCCCAGCATATCCTGGTTTTCAAGTACCCCAGCAGAGATAGGTTAAAGTTAGAAGGGACTCATAGTCAATTGACTATGTAAAGTCATAATTTGTGTCTAAAAGTTGTCTTCCTATTACAGAGTTTTCTGGTTCTCCCTGTAGAAATCATTTTTGTTTCTGAGGCCGTTCTTTCTCGAAAAGTCTAACTTACGTATTAACACTGTCCGTCTTTTGAGGTTGCCCCTTAGATATCTCAAAAAAGTTAGAGGATTAGAACGGGAGACATCGAGCATTAAAACAATCGTTCCCCAAAGTTTGTCATTAAGTCGACCCTAGGATCGGACTTGAAGGTTAAGGTTTTCAATATTTTTCTCCTAGGTATGTACTGGTTGGAGAGAGAAGGCGATGGTGTTATGATTCTGGAGATTGGAATTGGCCGGAGCTGGGAGATGCCAGCTGTATACGTTAGTATCTCAATTCACACTTTTTTGCTTTTGTCTCAAGGGTACCTTTAAAACATTAATCTGGTTAAAAATTTGGGAGATGCCTAGTTTTTCTGACTCAAAATTTTAATATTTTCTCTCTTGCTTCTTTTAAGCAAGAAATGCACTTTCGCAGAGAATATAAAAATAATCAGTAAAATGAGATTTGAATGGATGTATAATTTATAGTTGTACAGAAAAAGCTTTAGAGGTACCGTTGTAAATCGGGCATTGCCATCCTCACATAAAGGGACACTTAAAAATAGGCAGACTCCAATACAATAAAAATAGTAAAAGTAAAAAAAACCCTGTGTTTTGTAATAAGTTTAATAAAAAAATAAGAATAAAACTGATTTTGTAAAAAGATTAAAAAGATATTTTTTTTTAGCTCAAGATCAGTATAACTCCATGCAAGCTGGAATCACCAGCGGCATTGTGCTCGCTGTTCTTGTGCCAATCAGCTGTTTTATTTTCTGCTTTATCCAGCACATGCGCAATAGAGGAGATGAGGAGGATTATCCAGGAGGAAATCAGTAAGTTGGGATTCTAAGTAAATATTTTTTTTACAAAACTAAGCTTATCTTTTAAAATACGGGCAACTACGTTTTCTTCTTTAACATTTTAAGAGATATTTTTGTAAGAATTCGTAAATTTTTTTGTCATAATCGTTGAAACTTAAAAAAAAGAGATAATGTGAGATGCCACAAAACATTTTGACCCGATAAATAAAAATTTAAAAAAGACTGACAGTCTTCAAAGAATAAAAATGTTACTTCCTTACTTTTGCATATAATAAACTCTCTAGAAACTATCCTGATCGGTTGCGCCATTTTGATGATGATTATTGGATACAAAAAACAACAAAAAATACATGTTTTATATTTAAAATATAAATGGCTTCATTTACTTCCTTATTTTTTAATTAAAAAAGATGCTATAGTTTAACACAGAACTTCTGAGAGAATTTATTAAATGTCGATTTTCAAACCTACTGATAATGGAATGCTATCCTTTTATAAATAATGTAGTTTGTTTTTTATCCTGAAATGCAGTCTTATCAATACTTGAATATAAATGTATCATCAATTGTAGCAGGAAAAAACGATAAAATGTATCCGTTTGATTTTTTCTTAATTAATTTAAAAATGTATGTAAACGATAGTATCGTAAAATAGCTTTATTAAATACATGTGAACAATTTTGTACAATTAATATAATCTCGATACGGAGATAATAAATATCTAGATCTCAAAAAGATAATGGAATGCTGAAGATATTTAGTTTTTAAATGAATTATTTTAATAGAGCTCTTTAAAGCTGTTCTCGCATATTTTGCGGGTGTTTATTTAATTTTATTATTACTGATAACAGTATAAAACCCATTGAAAATTTGTCAAGACGACATTTTATAAATTCTTTCGATATCTCCAAAGTTTATGGGTTAAATTGTGTAAAGGGCTCCATATTAATTTTGTTTTCAGAGGTGTTCCAATGGATGATATGAGAGGGAACAAAAATATTTATGAAGACGACATTATCAGACGAGAATCCAGAGATAATTACAAACCAAGATAGAAAATGGAAAATGTTAAAAGAACTTTAAGAAATGATAAATTATACAAGAAACCATTTAAAGAAGTGAATTAATAATGTTATAACATTTATTTTTTAAGACAATAAAGTATTTTTTACAGTTATGATTGTAACGTGTTTTGTGAAGCTGTAACCTTAAAGCTTACAGTGATTTAGTAAATGTTATTAGTGAAATCATTTGCTTTGTTTTCTGGCTATCACTTTGTATTCTATTATTTTCTTTACTTTTTAAATATTTGCTCGGATTCTCACAAAGAATGTCAATTTATTTTTTGGAATGTATCATATGTAACATATGGACAGTATATTTGTCTAAATATTATAACTTTGCACTAAAAAAAATGGTGAAATAAACTAAAAAGCTATACATTTAATATATATGTTTATTATTTTTATTCAATATATTTAGAAATTAAAATGATATATTCTCTCCAAAAAATCTTGATCGCAAATATGATATCTAAATTACAATAATTAAATTTCGGATGCTTTTTAAACTTTAGGAATTGATTTTTTTCAAAGCAGCTGCGGAATACCATAAATGTATGGAAAATTCCTAACAGTCGTCTAGCTGAAGCTTTATTATTAGTGGATAACCCTGTAAATGCTTGACATATTTGTAAGCTTCTGAAACTCACGAAACCTCTGCAAAATTTTACTTTTCTAAACTAGTAACTATCTTACACAGCTTTTAGGCTACACCACAGTATTAAAACATGAACAAAATTTTACAATTACAGTTAAACTTTGTTCAATTTTTAAACCTTATAAATGGAATGTTTACTGCTAATTTGAGAACATTTATTAAGTTTTCAATTTTCATTCTTCAAGAGTAGATAAACTTCTTAAAATCGCTAAAACTCGAATGCATCCTAAGACTGTTGAATTATATGTTTACTAGGCTTTTAGGGCGCTTAGCCCCCATCTTCCATTTAAATTGTGAACACGTTCTTTTTGTTTACATTTTAAAACAAAGAAGAAAAAAAATTTGCGGATTTTTTAAAAAATTCGCGGATTTTCAAGAATTTAAATTTTTTACAAATGAAAACCTTTAAAACACATTTTTTTTAAATTTTTATAATTCATAAACCTTCCCTGTGGTCACGTGATGTCCCACAAAAAATTTGGGCCCGATCGGTTCAGCTGTTTTGACGTTTATTGGATACAAACAAGCAGACACCCAGACAGACAAACAGACAGACAAGCCAAATTTATATATAGAAGATGAAACTATTTGAACTTTATCACTCATGGTCACTTCATGGTAAGCATTATTATTGACCTGTTCTAAACTAATCTTTGTTCTATAATGTTAAATAAGAAGTAGATTACATATTATAGCATAGTGCTACAAAGTTTCATTGGTTCCCGAATATTTCTAAAAAAAGTTAATTTAATTTAATTTTATTTTATTTTTTTTATTTTTGGGGAAAATACAAATTTAAAATGTTTGAAGACTCTCGGAAAAACTGTTATAACAGTGTAAATTAAGACAATATTGTTATAAATAGTTATCTATATTATATTTCTCTTTTCTCAATTATGTTTATTTTATGTTTATATGTTAGCTATAACTGGGCAAACAGCTACAGCTAGATCAAATGGGCTGAATTTTTTTGAGTGAAACCATGTAACATAGGCTAAAAAAAGTTTAACATTGTTTTTTCAAAAAAAACAATTTTTTCAAAAATCTATTTTTTTCTTAATTCAAAAAAAAAACATTCCACGGGCAAATTTTTGAGTACAAACTCATTCGAGTTCACTAGCAGATGGACATTTTTGTATTAGAAAGCTAAAAGCCCCCAACATTTGGGAAAATACCCTTTAGAAGTTGGCGGTTGAGAAGCATTTTGTATCGTTTAGTTTTCTGTTTCACTTCAAATATTAAAAATGTGTCATAAAAGGAGAAATTTCTGATTGCTTTAAAGCTTTAAATCTGAAAATTTTATTATTTTTTAATTTTGATGAAAATATTTAGAAAATATTTAATTTCAAAAGAATGTCGCTAATTTAATCTATACATAACATATTTATCATTTCAGTTATTACGTAATAATCGAATCCTTCAACGTATAAATTATTCGTTCTTGTATTTAAAAGTTCTTGTAAGACCGGAACTTTCCTTGCATGGTCCAATGGGACATCAAAATATTTCATTTGTTTCTTAACTAACATTTTATTAAGATCAGAAAGATTTACAGAACAATCATTTGCAATGGAAAATAAAGGAACTGAGTTTTTGCCACAAACTCAAATATTCTTATCCCTATATCTTGGCAACCCAATGTCGTAGACCTTAGATATTTCAAACTATTAATTCTGTTAGATCAAATATCAAAGGTTTATACCCTCTGGTTGCAGAGATATAGAAATTAGAAAATTTGAGGTTTTGGCAAAAACTCAATTCCTTTCTGCCAACAGCTGTGCTTAGGTAATTTTTGCATAAATTAGAAAGAAATCTAATGCAAAGCTTATAAACTTTCTTCAATAGTCTCATAGAAAGACACACATCTACTAGTTAACATAGATTTTACATGTAAACATTGTAAAATACTTTACGTGTAAAATCTATGTTAGCTAGTAGATGTCGTATTTGCTCTGACCAAATTTGTTACTTTAAAATTCAAAATAATGATGAAACACGTTTTTTTACTCTTAACTGTAGGTTCTCAGAATTCAAAATAAATGATTAATAGGAAAGTCTGACGTAAAAGTATTTCCCCTCTTCACTTAAATCCCACCCTTCCCCCTCCCCCCCTAGGCCACCAAGGACAATTTAAAATGAACGTTTTAAGAACCTTAAAATGTATTCGGAGTACTTTATTGCATGTACAAATTAAAACTATTGGTAAAATGATTTAGTTTTTATAATTGAAATAGATAATTCTTGATATTTTTATAGATTCTTCTGAAAGTATTCCGAACCAAGATGGCGACTTTTAAATAGACGAACTGAGCCTCTTAACTATGATCAGATATACTTCAAACTATAGGTATTTAATGGTAAATGTAATTTATTGTTAACTTTCATTTAAAGAGTGACATCCCCCAAATCCCAATCACAACAGTTTCTCTTTCAACTGTTCTTCGTTGACAGAGATCTATTTCAAATGCTGTGAATAAATAGCAAAACTGACTTTGGATGACGTCACATTTATTCCTGAAAAATCAATTTTATTTTAGATCCAACACAGTTTTAAAAAATTCAAATCTTAGTATTATTTAATTATTCTA